CTCATAAACAGGATGATAATACTGACTATTACAATAACTTGCTTATGGAAATATTTGCAATCGCCTTCGAGTTTAACATCCAAAGGACGTTATATTTTATCTCTAGTGCTGGACTGGTGATGGTAGCTTTATAGTCTCTCATCAGTCTGCAAAATCCCCCTCACTTAGTGCACATTAGATTACAGAGGGCCTGTTTGCTCACGTGTGCTTGTGATGCACAAACAAACACTCTAAGCCGTTCTGTAAATTAGCAAAAAGTGTGCAGTGTGCGCTCGTATATGAATATGCACGTCGTAAATGAGTCCATTAGCGCTGGCAGTGGCTGCCTGCGCACTAAGAGGGGAGCACGTCTATGTGATTTTACATTCAAGTGTCACTTAATGATTCCAGATTGCGTAATTGTGTATCCGTGCGTGGTGTCGTTTTGTTTTTACGTGTATGATGAATGGAGCGATTGTGCAAGTGTGGTTTCTGAGTGTGTGTACATTAGCCTGGGTGTGAGTTCGTCTGCGTCTGCAGTGTGACAAATGTATAGCCAGTGTTAACTTTTACATAGACTCTACTGGAGTACATTAGCAATAATTGTACTGTATGTTGAGCAGGAAACAAAGTGAAATGTGTGTGTGCATGTTGGTGATTAGAGCGATAGCATGGTGTATTAGATGGCCTGTGTGTGTGTGTGTTATCTCTAGCGGGGTGTGTGCAGGGGGCCTTGGGGCGACTGTGTGCAGGAGATAAGGGTGATTCATCTGTGTTTGAATGTTGTGTTTTTGTGTGTGTGTGTGAGCATGTTTGTGCTTTGGAGGCATGTGCATCCATGTTTGGAGTGTGCACATCCGAGCACTTGAACCAACACGTTAATAAAAGCGGTCACATGTGCTCCTCTGCGTGTTATAGGTGTGGGCACACACAAATGTTGCAGTGGGGATGGGAGGCCTGCTGGCAGTGATTTCTCCCTGCACGGTGGTCTTATATGACTGTATAATAATACACAACTGCTATTGTTTACCAGGAGCGTAGAGCGTCTTCTTTCTTTAAGGGCATCACACCCCCTCCTTACTGTACTCCTGTAGAGGCACCTTTGGGCACCTATTGTGCACCCACACAATGTATGTAAATATAGATGCATGCTTGTCACCGTGCCACGGATTACACTCCATCCATACACGTGCACATTTAAGAATGAAAGCACATAAAACATACAAGCACATACATATTGTGAAGTGCGTTCGTGCGTTAAATTAAAGACATTTTTGCTTTATTGAACTAAGCAGAGCATGGGAATGACACATAATTATGCAAATACACAAACGGGAAATTAGGCAAGAATCAAATTGAACCAAAACTTAGTGAGACATGAACGTTTTTTTCCATAACGTCTTACAGAGTGGGATTGTTTTTTATAGCTGCTTTACACAACAATCAAGAATGCCACTAGATCCAGGATATTAACCTGCTAGTATCTCTGTGTGTACCGTAAACATAAGAAATGTTAGCAAACCTGGCATAAAATATATATTCATACATTATTTTTAGATCTTTATTTCCCGCGTTATGTAACTGGAGGCCGAAACGCTGCTAAAATCCTCTGGCTGACTAAAATATTACACTTTTAAAAAGTTTATTTTGGCTGTATCTACTTAGCTGTTAGATAATATTAGCCATGTGCTAAAAGCTGCTGTATGTTATCCAAATCCTCCTGAATGATCCACATTCCAGTGTAACACTGACTTTGGCTTATAGAAATATAGTAGCACAAACCTCATATTTGATTTATTAGTGACAGCGCGAATGCTACATCTGTCAGTGTTTTCCTGTAGTTCATCTTGCTCACATCTCCTAAAGTGCTCATTTCTTTTGTTCAGAAGTTAATTAAACACTAAACACATTTTTTGTCTTATCCATACTTTGTTTACTGTGGCCCGAAACAGTTAATGACTTAGCAAAGTTGTAGCCTTCAAGCAAACTCCAGTAGTGCAAAAGTGCGTTACAATAAACCAGCTGAGGACGTCCGGCCTGCTTAGGTATGAGATATTTCAGGAACAACAGATACTACGGTAGGCACTCTACATGTCTGTGTTTATTATGTCACAGAATGCAAAGCATGCCTGACTATGGGATGGCATTTAGCTCAAACTTGCAGCGCACAGCTGGTCGTTGGGTCAGATTAATTTGATTATTAAAAGCTCTGAGGTTTGCACCTCCTCCAAAGGGCGTTTGCTTTGGTCCGAATCAGAGTACGATGACTACGTTCATGTTGGCAGAAACAACCTGCACCAAGGGAGGAAAAAAACAGGGGTCAGCTCAAATGGGCTAAACAGTGAAGTTGTGAAAACATCCTTGGTTATGGGTTCCTTAGTCTGTTGGTAGGGCGTCCAACCACACATGTGCTATCAGTCACTTTGCAGCTTTTTGCTAGCAGAGAGAATTGACAGTTATTTTTCTCTCCGATGTGGGCACGTGGTCTTAAAGGAGTCTGTCAAACAACATTTTTCTTCATTTTCCAACTTTCAGCCTTGAATACAATTCCTTTTATTATAATTCTTTTATTCATGTAGCGCCAATTCACAAAAAACAGTCAGTTCAAGGTGCACAAACATGGTACAATGTTAGAAAGAAACCCTAATAATCACATGACCCCCTATGAGCAAGCACTTGGTGACAGTAGGATTGAAAAACTCCCTTTTGACAGGAAGAAACCTCCTGGTGCAAATGAAGCACAGTGATAGGATAACCTTGGTTCATTTGCTAACTGTTGTTAAACATTGCACAAGTTTTAAGGATAGAAAGCCACCCTTCATTTGCTGGAAACCCTCAAAATCAGTTTAAAGTTTGAGAAGTTGTATTGTAGTTGCAATCACTTCATTTACATTTGAAATTCGGTGTATATGTCGCTGTGATTTAACAAGAGAAACAGGAAAGTTCTCAAAGCCGAGCCTGGAGAGTTAAACAGAAGAACTCCTGATACAGTAAAGCAGGCGTGTGACAGAGTGGCTGTGCGGCCACCGCTCTGCGTTGTGCCAAGAGATACTTAAACAAAACAACACATTGAGCGCATGCCAGGAAGCTATATTATTATCTTCATTCGAACTAATTGCCAGGCCAAACAGCGACACATATGCACACACAGGCTTCAACAACCACTCATCATTAGGGACTGTGGTGTGCCATCCACGTTGTCATGACAACAAGGCAGTGAATTTTGGCTTGGATGCTGTCACACAGGGCAAGAGATTTTTCTGAGGCACGCGGGTTTCAGAGGTTTTGACTGTTTGCTGAGGGTTTGTCGGGATGAGCGCTGCAGCGATGAGAAAGGCCTCAGGCTTCCTCCAAACATCGCCTCGTTTACCTTGGAGGACTCTCTTTGTGTTGCCCTTTGCACACTTCCTGTCGCTTTACGAGTGCGTCTGATATTTGTGATCAGCTGTCGAACTCTAACGGCTTATTAGCATAGGCGACAGGATACTCACAGGATTGTAAACAAGCGTCCCTTTACTCCATCAGCGTCGCACGTCCTCCGTAGGTCTTTTTATCTTTAAGACCACTGGGGCTGTGTTTGAGAGTGAGTGTGCTTTGCAAGCATGTGTGTCTATTTCTGTGTGTGTGTGGGTGTGCCGTCAGCTAGCAGGAATGCATGGGTACCGCCAAAGCTAAGATGGCTGCCAAGCGCTAAGATGGCTGCCAGGATTCCACAGAGCGACAGCGCGCAAGAGAGAAAGAGACAAAACCAATGTGAGAGGAACTGAGGGAGAAAGACCTGAAGATGGACTCTTGTGCAGAATGAAGGACGAGTGTTGCGAGAAGGAAAGAAAAGAAGCTCTTCCTCGTGTTTCCCTCTTCCCAGAGCGATGAGGTGCTTTGGGTTTCTTTTTGTTTTCCTGCTTTTGGCACGCGACCGACAGGGTGAATAGTGCACCAGTTTGCTGGCACGGAACGCAACACTGCCACCCAAGATTAGGACACTGATTTGGGTTTAGAAGATGTTGAGATTGGGGGGCCTAGTAGTGGCTGCAAGGGGGCCACGTTTTGGATTGGGAGTCTTGGCCCAAGACGCCCTTAAAGGCTAAGTGCTTTGGAGTAATTGGCCTGAATGGTATATATGATACAACCATAAAACTCCACAAGGGTGCATTACACATCCGAAGAAGAATGGCAGCCAGCGAGCCAAAGAAAAGCAGCTGAAGCAGACGACTCTCTGAGCGCCTTCGTGTCCCTATAGATGGAAGCAATGCAGGAGATGCAATCCAGACAAAGTGCACATTTGACTAGTCAGCGTGGGCTGTTGAGGTGACACATCTGTCACTTTACCTAACTTTTATACCTAGTGTTTGTAGCTGTGTGCACATGCAAACATTCAAGCGCCGAAAAGTTAGGTACACAAAGAGAGAAAAGATTTTTTAAGGTGATTCAACTCCAAATGATGCATTTCTAAAAGTTCTTGGGACCATTAGCACTCTGCCCAACATGAATGGTGAGTTTGAGTAATTGCAAGAAACAAAGATACAAAAACAGTTGAGTTATACACAGCAGTACCCAGAATACAGGAACGCACACGTTCAAAACCGCGACTCAGAAGCAGAGGTTTGTTTCTTAGGAACACTTGAGCCAGTTTACACTGTATTCAGATTCTATATTTTAGAAGGTCTTTCAAAAAAATGGCAAAGACGGTGCATCAATACCCAGAAATTACACGTACGCTGAGTTAATTGTTGGCATTAAAAATGTTTTGGGGGATTTGTAGCACTTTACCAAACATACACTAAGGCTGTGAGTACGATAATGACCAGATAAGAATCTACTAACGGTACTCTGAGCCTCGACCGAGTGCAAATATCTGCCTTTTTAATCTCAACACGTCTGTCCGTTGTCAGTGAAAAGAGTTTACCATATAGTTTCTCAGGAGACTCCTCTGTTCTTTACCTGCCCCCTCACCTTGGTCAGTGTCCAGACATCTGTCCACCTGACTCACCATCTTTCTTTCTTTTTCTCTCTCTCTGCAGAACAATCAGGACAATCAGACAACTCAAACCAGCAAGGAGACACAGATGTGAAGCCCCCACCAAACGGTAGGTTTACAAGTGCACGTTCCATTAATCTCACTCTACATGTGCAATTATTAAAAAAACATACCTGTGCCTGCACGCAGGCACACCTATACAGTCATGCATGCACATGTATGTGCATTAGCCCTACACGCGGGCCTCTGTGCCTGTGCAAGTGCGTCCCAGCAGAGTTGGATCTAAGTTTATTATGGTAAGGCGAGCTGATGGTGCTGTAGCGTGGGGGCTGTGCTGGGTTTGTGGCAGGCCGCTCATAAATCACACTGACGTTATTGGAAGATGGGAACCACATGGCCGCTGCCGAAGCTGAGCGCTGACCTCATGCGCTCTCCCCGCTGCGGTTAACCCCGGGCAGGGATGGAGTGAAGGAGCGAGAGGAGAAGAAATAAGGAGGGCTGAAAAGAACTGAATGAAAGAATGAGAGGCGAAGGGAGAAGGCGTGGGGGGGAGTGATGGACAGACAGAGGGAAGGGGGAGAGAAGGGTGTGGATTTAAAATGGATTCGGCCCCGGAGCCATAAAGCGATCCGCTTTACACACAGCGTAATACGACATGGACAACATAGTGTCGCATACTTAAACTTTACTTGGGGAACAGAAGTTCAGAATGCAGCACATTTAATTTGTTTGTACCATTTTCACCTGTGACGGTGTGTTTCGTGTGTAGACATTTCACTTACCTCGCTGTTTACATTCAGTTTAAATAAAATAAGAATCAAAGATCAGGTGAGTTCACTAAGCTTCATAAAAGCCTTTTTTAAAGACTTTTATGAAGCTCCTTATGTGAAAACAAGGTTCTTACCTGTTGTCAGCTGATACCAGAACATTATCAGTCATCAGGTTTCTAGACACCTGACAAATATCAGTCCAGTTTATTATGTTAGCTGCAAATTTATCTGCACGTTCTGCTGTCTGGCTCGTTGCTAGCTTAAAGTGATTTTGCATCTTACAGTATTTTGTTTCTTTTGTTTGTTTTTCTCTTTTTAGGCCTTTGTGCTCAAAATCAAGAGTTGATGGCTAAAATGTTAGATTTAAGATTTAGGCCAAGGGTCAGCATATTGGTCAATCGTCAGGCAGCAAGCGTCGAGGGTTTGTTGTAGCTCATTTGAAGTCGAGTATTGTTCATACGTGTTATTGTCGATAAAAGCGACACGGTGCTGGAAACTAACACAGCTGACAAGCAGTCAGATGATCGTAACGTTGAAACTAAGAACTGTTAAGAAAATGTTCCACTGACAAAACCCATCACAGGCTACAGCGCAGTGTAGTCGACTGAGAAGAAATGATGACTGTAGTTGTGAAACTTCAACACAAGTCATAATCAAGGTTTTGGTTACAGTCTCAACAGACTGAAAGGACAGATGTGCGAGGACGTGTGTATATCAGTGTTCCAGTACCTCTTATTAAACATGTGCACTTTATTATGCGTGCGCATGATATATACATGAAGATCGCAATGCGCAGCGCATCATCCATTACATAGCTGTCTGTGTGGAGATTACAGCCGCTTGTTGGATCTGATTGGTTGTGTATGTTGGACTGTCAACAGTCAAGAAAGTGAACACGTCCAAACCAAAGGCCTGTTGTACCTTATAGAAAACACATGGGCCCAGTGGATGACACCAGCAGTGTGTCAGGCCTTTCCACACGTGTTTTTCAGCCTCTTTCTGAGTGTGTGTGTGTGTGTGTGTGTGTGTGTGTGTGTGTGTGTGTGTGTGTGTGTGCGTGTGCATTCAGAGTGTAACTCACAAATGTCTCTTTCTCCCTTTAACCAGGCAACTTGAGTTTCCAGGACTGCTTTGTTACTTCGGGTGTGTGGAACGTAGCCGAGCTGGTCCGTGTGTCGCAGAGTGAGTCAACCACTGTCACCTCTCATTCTTAGTATATAGTTACTTATGTTATTATAAGTATATTACTCTATAACCTATTATAACTAGTAGTTTTGAGTAGCTGGATTGATTTGCATAATTATATCACTCGTACATTAACCTGCTAAGATCCGAACGTGCATTTTGAATTCCTCTTTGCTATCTGGCTCGATGGTGTTTGATAGAACGCTAAAAGTCACATTTGAGTAATGATGTGCAAAACTGAACACAGCAGCATTTTCCTGAGTACACAAACAAAATGAGAAACAACAAATGTTGAAAGAGCAAAATTTAGTATTGCGGTCTAGACCAGCCGCCCCCAGCCCCCGGGCCACGCACCAGGACCAGTCCGTGGGTCGTTTGGTGCCGGGCCCGAGAGTTGAGGCTCGAGTGTGAAATTTATGGTCTTCAGGGTTTTATCATTATTTTGTTATCATGTTTATCATTAACTCAGTGTCCTGTGTGTCATGAATAAATCTTTTTTTTGTGGTAGCTCTACTGGTTTTATTTTGTTGTATTTATCTGCGACACCTTAAAGGTCAGACATAAAGCGGTCTGTGGTTGGGGAAACTTAAAGGTTGGGGACCGCTGGTCCAGACAACCCAAAATGTGATGTTCCCATATGTGGACACCAGGTCCTACGAGGTTGAATAGAAGTTTAGCAAAGTCCTGTAAACATAATCGTGTCAGTGTCTCCAAAAATGGACTAGTAAGGCTATAGAGACTTTGAAATGAGTACATTTGTAGTGCTACTGAAACGTCAGAGTTATCAGGAATCATCTTCTGCGAAGCTTAAACAAAGAACTGTTTCTGCAGTCGACGGCTCTCTCACACTTTCAGCTTTTAATTCTAGTTTTTTTCTATGATGTGTCTCTTTTCTCTCGTTTCCTCTGTGTGCATCCCCTCAGCCCCTGTGGCTACAGCGACAGGCCCCAACTTCTCTCTGGCTGACCTGGACAGCCCCGGCTATTACAACATCAACCAGGTGACCCTGGGGCGGCGCTCGATCACCTCCACCCCCTCCACCAGGTACACACGAAGCACTCGAAACGCTCCTTCTAAATCTAATTCTGCCACTTGCTATTCTTCATTCTCCAACCTCTGTACTGTGTTTCCTAATGCTTAGCCTGCTCTGCTTTTTGATCGTGATCTTTCTCTCTCCTTCCTCGTCACTAACCCTCCTCATCCCCACTCATATTTCCCACCGATCTGTCTGTCACCCGTTCCTTGTTTGTGTCTGTTTCCCTCTCCTCTGCCGTCCTCTCCCGCTCATCTTACGCTGCAGGACTGAAATGGAGCTTTATGCAAGTCTCCCACGGAGGTAGTTACACTCATTACAGAATATCTCCCTTGATACTAATGTAGCACAGACCCCTGCATCACACAAAAGCCACACGCATGCTGTCCCACGTATACGCACACGCTGTACGTTCACAGCCCCTTTTATTTTATTGGTCACAGATGTATGTGTTTGTAGGAATGTGCAAACACACACAAAAATAGGCTCCGACATCACCAGGCACACTTTCTGCTTGCAGTTTCTAGCGCGCGGCTGCTTTGAGCCGACGTGGACACAGCATGTTGTTAAAATTCTGGCCTCGTGTTTGTTTGTCTCCAATTATGCTGCTTTGTCCCTTAAGACTGTAACATAATATGAAAACAAAATGTAGATAACTGAAGAGAAAAGGTGACTTTGTTTCATTTCCCTTGATTTAAGATGATATGACATTTATCAGTGTCCCCTGTACTAATTAGTTGTGCCTATTTATTTTAGTGGGAAACCCTGGCCTGCTTCAGATTGCTCTCATAATGAATCCCTTTTACTAATCTTTCTCCTTCCTCTCCCAGCTCCAACAAGCGCAAGTCCATTGACGACAGTGAGATGGAGAGCCCAGTGGATGATGTCTTCTACTCGGGCCGTTCCCCAGCGGCTGGCAGCAGCTCTCAGTCCAGCGGCTGGCCTAATGATGTGGATGCAGGTAGTCCCGCTGCAACTGCTGCATCAGATTTTGCACGCAATCCAGAAACTGTGCTGAGGTCCACATCAATTCAGAGGCAAACTTTAAACACTGGCTTCACCTTGAATCGTAAAGCCTTAAAAAAACAATTTGACATTTGGGGAAATACGTTTAGCTTCTGTAGTTTGATACTATTGTAATGTCTGTAGAGTAAACAAGAAGCAAGCACCAGCTGGTCAGCTTAGCGTAACTTTAGAAGAGGGAAACAAGCAGTCTGGTTTCAGCAAAAGGTCTCATTGCTAGCTGAGGTCATCAAAATGAGCATTATTATCTGATGTTATCTAGGCCTTGGTGCAGCGCCCAGTTCGTTCACATTATGAGGCAAGCCGCCTTTCTCCTGATTTATAAACAGAAGGTTTGGGCACTGACTTCGTTATTTGAGACAGCCATGTTTAATATGATCGTCTCCTCCTGTAACAGTGCATATGTGACAAAGCCCAAACTAGCCCCTCCACTTCCTGCTGTGTTTTGCTCATACTTACTGTACAGCTATTAGAATGGTAACGCTCTAAATAACTCTCAGCAACGAGGCAAAAAGATGTATTTCCCACAAATGTCCCACAAATATTAAATTCCTGACTTGACATGGACCAGAAGCTAAAGCTAATTATGTTTCACCATCATACCCGCTTGCATCTATTTTGACTCTTCAATACTCGCCCCCCCCTCATCATCCCCACTTGCAACATCTTTCATTTTCAACTTCTAATCCTCTTATATGCCATACCTAAATGGACCCCCCACCAAAGCATCATTTCTCACATACAGCAGGGACTTAAAGAGCCAGTAAAAAACACATTTTCTCAGTTACTCTAAACAGTTTGTAGAGATTCGGGGGAATTTGCAGAAATTTCAAGGTCTTTTATTTCCATCGCTGGAAATTCTGCCATCATCTAATGCTTAATGCATTTGAAAATTGTGTTTGGAAATAGGAAAAATGTCTTTCCAGTACCAGTTCTTCAAAACAAACAAGGTTTATGTACATCACACCACTGTTGTGATGGGATACAGAAAGAAAGCTGATCCTGAAGCTATTGGATAAAAGACAGAAAAAAACTTTTTGTTCTGGCTGAACTGCCCCTTCAATCAGACCACAAACTGAGGATAGCCTGCTGTCTAGTGTTTGTTGTCTGACTGTGAGAATAGCTGCAGAGATGGACACATTTAGTTTTTACGGCATTAGAGCTAACATCTATTAAGCTCACCTCCAGGACTGAGTGCACGTGTGTGCGAGTGTCGTGCATTAGACTGCGAAACACAAACATCATCTGCTAAATGTTTAGCAACTTTGTTTTATCAAGTGGGTGTAACCGAGTCCTTTACAAATCTAACTTAAAGTAAACCCACTGTAATGACTGTAATGTTGCATGTGGTGTTCCTTAGGAGTACTTTGAGATTTTGGGAAATACAGCAATTTACATTATTGCACAGCAAAGAGGAAGCTGTGCTAGCAGCCAGTTAGCTAATGCAGTGCAGAGACTAATTGGTCATGTGACTGATGGGCTACTGTCACGTGACACCATTGTGTTTCTTGCTTCAGTTTATCTCGAGGTTATTAAATGAGAATAAGTGTTTGTTCTTTGTTTTGTGATAGGCTAACTGGCTTGTAAAGGGCCATGAGGGCAAATTGCTCTTCTCTCTGTTTTTGTTTCTTTATATTCATTTGTGAATCTCAGAGCTGTTGGTTGACTAGAGCCGAGCTAGCTGTTCTTTTATCTATTTATTTTTTACTGAGACAACATTAAGCTAACCAGGAGCTGGCTGCTTCAATGCTGACTTATAATACAGACATCAGAAGGCCACCAGTTTTATCATCCATCAGTATTTTGCTTATTTCCCAAAATGTTGAATTTCTAATTTTTGAGTATTCTCCAGATACCTAAAAGTTATACCAAAATCCTGAGCGGCACTACTCCAACCACCCATTCACATGCTGAAGTCATAGCCACTCACTCTTTGGGTAACCGCACTGTTAACCATCATGATGGTGATCACGTCAAATGTATTTTCAATAGACTTAACATATATCTCTTGGGTGTCGTATTTGGCTTTGGGGATTTTGTTAAATTGCTAAATTTTCATGTATTCTCCGTCCCTCCCACTCACATGCTGCCATTTTAATACTGCCAACAGTAATGATGTAACTATTTTATAGACACTTGCTGCACTCTATAACATTAAAATCCCCTATTGCCTATTATTTAACCAGCCCTGTTTCTCTCTCTCTCATTCTTTCCATCTCTTTCGATGTCTCTTTTTCTCTCCTCCCCTCTTCCATTGTTAACTCTTCCCTTCTCCCCTGTTTGGCCTTTCAGTGCAGCACCATTTGGCCAGTGTGCAGGAGAGGAAGATTAAGCATGAGAGCGATGGAGTGCAGTTTCCTTACCATGGTTAGAACAACATTAAACATTATACTGTGTTCATGTATACATGCTCTACCTCCGCTCACACCACCCTCAGCTTGTGTACATCTCTTTCTGTCCTTTCTTCAAATCTGTGAGCTCTCAGAGCGAATCTGGGTTATTTTTCATTTGTCCCTCTCTTCTCTTCTCTTCATCCCTCTGTTTGTGTCCTGTTCTCTGGCTATGCTGCTGCTGGGTGGGGTTGTGTTTCTACCAGATGTCTGCTGTTGTCCATTGTGGGTTCACCAAAGCCTTTTGGTAGCCCAGTAGCTCCATAACATCTTCCGCCTGTCTGCCTTAAAGATGTAAATCTGTGAAAGAAATGTGATGTCTAGGAGGATAAAGACGTCTCTGTGGCATTGAGAACATGTCTGAATGCTCTTATACTGATGTAAACCCTAGTCTACATATGCAATTAGGTGCATTATCATATCTGAAAAACCACAGACTGCAAACCGAGTTTGCGAGGTGGTATGAGTTTGTCAGCGGCGTTCAGCTGAGTGCCTTGGGTGTTGTAATTTTGTTGTTGAGCCCGGAGAGAGAAAGCGAGCACTGAAAGACACAAAGAAGGAGGAGCGGGGTGTGTGAATGGGGGTTTGCTGCTTCGTCCTGCCGGTTGTTTAGACAGAGCTGTTGAGTGGCGTCCCACCTGCTGTAGGCCTGACTCAACCATCTCTGAAAGACAGCGCAGGAAAAACAACATACGACCCAAACAAACAAGACTAAAGGCACTCAGGTGTGTCATCAATGCACAAGGCGCCTTCTGTCTGCGAGACATGCTTACTCACTAACGCGCACATTTACAAATGACATGCAGACACATGCGTACGCGCACAGAAAACTAAATTTAAGCGCCTTCTCTGATTTACATTCACACACACATAAGCACGCTCCCCAATCTGGAGAGGAGCAGCGTTCCGGTCCAGATGGCGCCTCCATGTGTCTACAGCGAAGGGAGCTACTGGGTTACAGCAGACATCTGTTCTGGTGATGGTGGTGGTGGTGTTGGGAGTGAGAGATGTGGAGAGGAGAAGAGGGGCGGAGGACAGGGGGAGGGGGGTGGGGGGAAGGAAAGGGGAGAGTCTCCGCCTCTGCGTGCTCAGAAGGTGATTCTCTACCTGAATGAAAAGCTCTGAGGCATAGCAGGTGATCATGTAATTCATCATTAAGTCCGCTGTCTCCCGCTCAGCTCTGCTCCGCTCTCTCCTTCTGCCTGCTTGCTGCTGCTGCTCAGTGGTGGGAAAGCCCACTATCAGCCTTTCAGTAAGGGAAGGAGGGGGTGGGTTTCCCGTGTATTTGTGATTTTGACAGAGATTACAAGCTAATTATCTGGGCATTAAATCGTCATGTGTGTGGCTGTCTTGCGGAGGTGTCCTTGCGCTGAATCTTAGTGTTTACGAGCGCTAATGTTGCGCGTGGCAGCGAGTATAATGAGGTGCTTTGCTCTGCTGATGTACACTGTTGTTCCTCGCTTACCTGAACGAGGAGTGCACGAGATCTGTCGTCTCTCTGTTGTGCGCGCGCACATGCTAGTGGACCAGTTCTGTGACAGTTAGGGGGTTTGTGTGGTCGCCAGCTTGTTAGCATGGCAAGACTACAGGGTCATGGGAGCAATTGGCTGCCAGTCTGTTAGCGCAGCGTGCCAGGAGCAGGACACAGAAATAACGTAGAACAAACAACTGTGTATGTGTGCGTGCGTGCATATGTGCAGACACACACGCGCTCTCTCACGCACAGATTAAGAGAGAGATCAGAGTAACTTCTGTTAGCTTTATCAGACAAAGCTTTCATTGGGCATCTGGGCCTCATTTGCTGCTCCTCACTGAGAAGCCGCATAGATAGATATTTCAGCAAGATAGCGACTAATTAGGGAATATCACAGAGACTAAAAACAATATGTATAATTTAAGGCTGTTTGTGCATAATAAGCTGGTTATAATTAAAGTTGGGATGTGGCAGCACAGAGTCTTGCCTATACATCCAACAGAGGAACTGCAGCCAAACACAGCAATACACAGCATGTTTACATTCAGTCTCTGTGGCTTTAACACCATTTAAATTATGTCTTTTCATGTGTGTGTGTGTGTGTGTGTGTGTGTGTGTGTGTGGGGAGAAAGTTGAAGAACTCAGAAGTTACAAATTCATTTTATAAAATTAGCTAAACCAATGCAGAACCAGAGAAATGAACATTTTCTAAGACTTCCAGCCAAAGACTAGAGCTGATCTACAGAGAGCCATCCCTGTTTAACCCGTTCAGCTAAACATGGCTGCAGATAACCTGTGAAGAGACAGAGCCCTGCTAAAACCATTATTTAAACTTGCATCTACACAAAAAATGCCCACAAGTATCAGATATTAGTCAAAATTAGGCATATCATGTCCTTTTATTTCCATTACGTTGAAACCAATCGTGATGGGAGACGTTTTCAAAGGATAATAAAAATGAAAATTACATCAAAACAGAAACGCTGCTGTTTGTGGTGGTCAGCTGCTTTCAGGTTGCTGCTGCAAGAAATCCTGCGCAGCTGCTCATTTGATGTGTGAAATAAAAAAGACACATGCTCACGGTGCTACGACAGTCACATCTCTGATACTCCCAAATAGTATTTTATTACAATTTAAACCCTCAAATAAAAAAAATCTGAACATGGAGCCGTATCTGTGGTCTCGACTCCTTCAAAGATACTCCAGAGCCTGATTGATTCTGCACGTCTCCTGAGCACCGCTCATCATTGGGTACATCCTTACGTACTACTCCTTGAGATTTGCCACAAAACTAAAACCATCTGCCTAACATGCCAAACAGCTCTGACCTGTTGGGGTATGGACAGGGGACCTCATTGGGTGCAGTGATGCTCTGTCATTTTACAATTTTAAGACTTTGGAGGCTTGAAAATTTGAGCTCTTACGTTTCTTGAGCCATTCGTGAGGAGTTTGGCAGGCATGCTGCCTGCCAGCAGGGAGTACAGTAGTCATCACGAGGGAAAGGGTGGGCTTGGTCTGGATCAACGTCGTGGTGGGTAATGCATGTCAAAGTAACAGCCACATGTATGACATCATCCAAAGTTTCCAGCATAATATTACATTTTAATGGCATTATAAATGTTACTCACTTCACTTGCCAGTGATTTGAAAGTTCTGGCTGATTGCTGAATATTCCACAGTCTGTTAACAGTAGATTGCAGCTTTACTGTACTAGCTGTAAATTGGTTGTAATATGCCCCCAAGAAAGCATCACCAGATGGATGATATTTGTCTCATAAATCTATCGGTGAATAAAGTGCATCTCACCCTCCTCGCCGTGTCCGCTCCTCCCACCTACTCGTGAAGTCACGTGACGTGCCTATCTGAACATAAGTGCCAGCGCCCACCTTTTTCTGTGCTTATAGGTGCCCACACAAGCACAGCTGCACCCGTGGTGCCTGTGAGCATTGTGGCTAAATAGTGATAAAACATTTCCCAGTTTAGCATTTAAGAAAAAGCTGTTTAGAAATCTGCTGTGTTAGACTTTATAAGCTCAGCTCATAAAATCTATTTCCACATCTCTCGGGCCGTGTTGAAATGATCCACATCTTTATTCGAGTGTGTTTGTTTTATATGTGTGAATATTGTGTCGCTTAGTAGTTTACGGGCGTCCTTCTCGCCAAGGTTGTTTATCGCTCTATTCTTTCAACCAAATGTGAAGCAAAACACGAGCTCTGCATGTTCCAGAGAAAAGTAATGAGCTCTGTGTGTCCATGCTGATGTACTTTTCTGTACTTTAACTTCCTCATTATTCTCTGTTTTATGGATTTTTTTCTTTCCAGAGTTTTATTTCAGCTTATATTCAACATTGCGGTTCCACGCAGAGGTCAGATACACCATTTGGCACCGTTCCTCAAACCCAGAAAGTCTAAATTGTGCCTTTGGATTACCATACATCAAAATAAATTCCCTCAGCACCCACCACACAAGGCCTTGATCACAGAAGAGAGCCTCTTTTATCTGTAGCTCTCACACTTTTGGCCATGTTTCTGGTCCGCTGGTGAGCTGGGCCTATACTTTGTGTGCCCCTTTTTGCCAAACTAAGGGATATTTCATGCAGGCTTTTAGCCTCGGCCGACATTTATAGACAAGGGGGGAAACTTTAATATGTTTGTCTGTGTGTGCCGGCCATGCCGTCACCGCTCCGCTCCTGCTTAACTTCTTCCATCTTTCTACAGCTCTGCCATCTAGCCTTTACTGGCAGTTCGCCCGGTGCTTACCACCCAGCCTGAGCAGCTTGTGTGTGTGCGCGCGTCTGTGTGTGTGTATATAAGTTCAAGCACGTCTTTATGAAATACTATAAGTCAGTAACATAAAATACCTGACAGTCAGATATGCAGAAGGGCACTACATCAGAGGATCCATTGATGTATGTTCTGGCATGCTCGTCTGCAGCTATATGTAGTTGCACAGCTCATGCTGGCATTGAATCGAAAGCACAGTCTGCCCCAGATATGAGGCCATCCAGAATCCCATTCATTCTAAAGAGGCATCCTGACAAGTGCAGTGAGTAGGTTGGTTGGCATGTTTGTTGACTGCGTTCCTGAAGTTCTCTGTAGCGACGCCGGGCTCTGAGAGCGTTGTCGTGTGGGATTAGTCGGGTAGTTTGCGCCTCACAAAGGAGACCGTTTGATTAGATTTCAGTGGTTAAAGTAAGCAGGGGGATTGCTGTGTTGTTCATACACTCAGTTGTGACCATAGTTGAACTGCTATTGCATTTCCCAGCTCTCCTCTGTCCTGACGCTGTGCCCCCAGCCTCTCGACCTGAACCCGACCCACCCCTTCCCCTCTCCCGTCACCTCCCTTTGCTCTGAACCCCCGCTGCTTCGAACCATGGCCTCTCACCGGACCCTGCCCTCAGCCCCCAGACACGGTACAGCCCGCTGACTGTACAGACACAGAATAGACAGGTTGTGAGGACCCATCTGTATGTTAAGCCAATCAAACAAATCAATGAATGAATCAGTCGATCAATCCATTGATTTCAGTCGATCATAATCATTTGATTCTTGTAATCAAATCTGACAAAGTCTGATAAATTTCTTTTTCTTTTTTTGAGTAGAGTCAAAGTAAGAAAAGGAGCCATGTTTGATTAAAACCTCGTCTCTGTTCTGCCATTTTGTTGATCCCCTTTTTGCCAGGACTCTCGTCGCCTGGTTCACTTAAGAAGCCGGGGAAATTCGATTTCAGCGCCCTGTCCTCCCAGACGAGGTCCCCCCGCATGGCGTTCACCCACCACCCACTGCCAATGCTGGCGGGAGTGAGACCAGGTGAGACCAACCCAGCTCCCGATCCCCCCCTGATCGCCCCAACCCCTTCCTCTCCCCCTCCTCACCATCTCCTCCTACCCACTTCTCACTTTTTCAGTGCCCCCATCCCCCACCCTACCCCTCTGTGGTTTAGAGCTGGGGGCGTTGTCTTTGGGAGATGGGAGTGGCTGGGAAGCTGGCAGGTAACTCTATGGGTCTGTGCCTCGTCCTCTTCTGCCTCCTCCTACCTCGTAGGGTGCAGGTCTTGCCGGTGATGGAGCTTGCAGGGTTTCTGGGTGTGGTGTGTGGCTTCTCTAGTTCTGTCTGGTGGTGGATGGCTGTTAGTTGTACTCTTCTGTAGATTGCCTCTGTCTTCTTAGAGGGATTTGGTGGATATTGCAACCTGTTCTGTCAGATCAGTCAAGATGTTACATGAATAAAACAGCTTCCTCTTACCCATCCACTCCCAGTATTCATTTCAAGACTCCTGGATGGCAAACCAGTCTCAGGACCACAGGTGGAAATGAGTAATGAATAAAGAAGCTATTGTTAGGATTTTTGTTTGTTTGTTTGCTTTGTTTTTTTTGGGGGGGGGGGGGTCCAAAGTCAGATTTTCTCACGATAAACATGGACAAAATTTCAAATGAATGAGGTAAGTGTACGCACGACTAATCCCTGTGAGCCAAAGGCCAAGGCTTCAGGCTGTTCTAAATACCACGTAACTCTTGGCTCTGCATGATGTCACAGCTTTGGCTGTGAGCAAAGCAACCTCACCTAGTCGTTGTTCGAGCCTCCTGGCAGCCAATCAAGGGGGAAATGAAGGCAGGTCGACTAGGCTATGACCAGGCTCAGCAAAAAAGAAATAAGCATTACTTCAAACTGTAAAAGATGCAAAGCTGCCCTAGTACAGTCCAAGAGCTGTAGAAGTAGAATTGTTGCATTTTTATTTTCTAGCTCTGAAACAAGTTTGACTCGTTGGGCAAAAAGACCTCGATGACTTCATAATGGGCCAACAGGTTATCTCATCCTGGCTGAACGCTTTACATTTTTACCAGAAAGTCAGAATTACTTGAAGAGTGGGTTCTGAAAGACGCTGTTGAGTTATGGGGTCTAGAGCTTCCCTCATTAGTACAAACTAAAAGTCACTATCTCAGCTTCTATTTGTTGGTCTTAAACATTTCCTTTTAATGTCTGACGGTAATGACGCCAACTGCGCAACTGCCATGGTCTCAGATCCCCAAACTCACTGTTGGTTTGTAACAATTTGATAAATTCCCGTTTTTGTTTTGTCTTAAACGGGGTCCTTTTATCAAAATCTGCAAGCTGCAAGGTCATACTGATACTTAGTGGTAACAGTAGTGAATATGTATCATTCCAGACAGGAAGGAAATCAGTCATTCATTCAAATCATTTTTGCTTCATGACCTTTAATTAGTCAACTAGTCACGTTACGGGTTTTTTCTTGAAATTCCTATTGATTTGCTTCCCTTTCCAGTTTGGGAAGTCCAGGTTGAACACGTAATTCAAACTAGCACGGCCACAAAGTGATGTTTTGAGTCTGAGCTACTGTGTACCAGATCAATCTTTAAACCCTGCCACTTTATTTACACGTGGAGCTAAAGAGCTTCCAAATATAAATACAGAAATCATAATTTTTTACCAGTACAGATCAAATTAGAGACTTTCTCTTTTTTATGTACTTTTCTAAATTCACAAAGTAAAGGAGCTCACTGGAGATAATTACCCTTGTGCTTGCGCTACATCAAAGGATTTTTTAGTCACTGAGCAGATGTGAGGTTGACCGCCATGTCATTAAACCCTACTCAGCGCTTGTTGACAGAACCTCTTGAGATGTGACTACAGCAAATCCAGTCTCCACACACACATACATGCACTGTTAGTGTTCACACCATCGTGCACACATGTATACAATATCCCATCCTTGCGGTGGCCAGAGGTTCTAAGTTACACACTTTGGGATTTGTTTTTTTTATACAAACTGTGGCAGCGTGCACACTGGGAATGCTGCCATGCTAGTTTGAAAGTGGTTACCACATCATCAGCATTGTTGTTATTCTACGTAAAAGACAAGATCCAAGAGATTTAAAGGATTGAAAGTGGGAATAAGGAGCATGCAGGGCCCAGCTGTTCATAGCAGCAACGGTGCTAAAGGGTGGCTTTCATGGAGTCTCTCCCTTCAGCCACGTCAGCCATGGTTCCACTGTTTTTTGCAAATTCCCTATATAAAAAAATCTGTGTTTGTATTGAAGGACCATGTGCTAGTTAGCAGATGAACCAAACAAATTATAGTGTATGTAACAGACAGTTTGGATGTACAGTTTCAAAAAGTATTTGAAACACTTAGCTAGCAGGAATGTCTAAAATGCTGGAAGAGCTCAAAATCATTTCTAAATGTTAAAAAATTACACAAAGCTAAATACATGTTTCTGAAATGACAGATAAATTCTTACACAGCTAGCTGAAAGTAACAAAGATTAGTTGGCTGACGTTGTAAAATAGTTAGCTAAAGTAGTGCAATAATGAGTGGAATACCTACAAAAATGTATATCTGTTATCTAAAAGAAATGAATAAATTGTTTCCACCATTAGCTGAAAGTAAAGGAAACGTTTTAAAACAGCTGATAAATATTAGCCTTCAAGTAGTGACCGTTTGGTTTAAATGTCCAGCTTCTACCACCCTGGATATTAGCATAGCACGGTTAGAAACTAAGCAAACACGGATATTTCAACTGTATAAGAAGGATTATAATGAATTTATTTAGCAATATTTTAATATCTTAACATTCTTAATACCTCTGTGACATGTCAGGTGGTATCAGTGAAGGGCTCGTTGGGCTTTGCCAGTTTAAAGGCAAATATGATGGGAATCAAAAGAAGGTGAAAGTATGAAGGGGCCACCACCACCCCATCCATACTCCCATACCCCCAGCATTTGGCCTTCACCCAGTGTCTAATGGGATTAGTATGCGACTATAGGAGCAGGGCGACTGCTTCACTTGGGAGCAGGCAGCCTGGCATGGAAGCAAGGTGCTGCTGGGCCCTGAAGCATAGGCCCTTGTCTGGGGGGTAATGCAGCAGGGTTGGCACCCTTATGAAGTGCACTCACACACAATGTATAAGATGCAAGCACTAAAGAGCATTGGCAGCCCAACGTGGGCAGCTGGGGGGCCTGTATGGGATGGGGTGGGTGTTAAACTGGCACAGCTAAGAGAACAGGCTACTAATACAAAACAAGGAGATTTAGTAATGGATATAAGTCTGACAGGGAGGGCTTTGTGCTCGGTGTGGTAGGGCTCAACCAACTGCTCCCCTTTCGCACCTCAGACATATATTCATCTGTTTGGTGTGAGTTTCACTATTTTCTTTGGTGAAAAACAGAATGTTTTTTGTTTCTGTAAGCTTATTAGCCACAGAATGCAGTTATATTTTGCATCTCCGCACCTGTCGTGCACATACACAGATATAAAGCTCACGAGCCATTTAGCAGAAAAAATATTAACTCAGATTTAGAGAGTATTTACAGATTAATTCTGTCTTAGAAACAAAATGTGTCAGATAAAAAAGGCTTTAGTATGTAAATGCCAAAATGCATCAACGCCAGTGAATCACACCCTCAAAAACAGCACACAGGAGCGCAGGCATTAAGACAGGCTAATATAAGACACTCCTCAATGATCTCTTTGTGTTTTTTAACAGGCTTTTTGGATCTGATTTCAAAATGCAGCGCTTTTATCTGCTGAATTTGTGCCCATTTAGAAGTGTGTGCAGTCTGAACGGCGTTGCCCTAAATTGTTACATTGTCTCAGTGAGTGTTCAGATGTGAATATGTGTGTGTAAAAATCTCTTTCCGAAAAGTTCATTGTGTTCATCTGGATGCAGCGTTTCATATAAATTTCTTCAATAAAGCTGTAAGGGTTTACTGGAGGAGTCATAAAAAATAAGCAATGCATACAATACCTATTAACTCGAAATTAGCTTTTCCTAGAAAAACCGAGTTCCTTTCATCTTAAAACCAGATTTAAGTTTTGTTGTTTCCAGTTGCAATGTGATATTCTTGCTATCATTTGGTGGTTGCTCAGTTCATCTCTCCCATCTGTAAGAATGTTTAGAAACTCAGCGGTTCGTGTCCCGCTCTTCCTCTGCTCGTGTTTCCTCTAATACCAAACGTCTGTGTTTACAGGGAGCCCCCGTGCTTCAGCCTCGGCCCTGCACTTCCCATCTCCCTCCATCATCCAGCAGTCTAGCCCCTACTTCACCCACCCAACCATCCGCTATCACCACCACCCTGGACAGGATCCCCTGAAGGAATTTGTGCAGTTTGTCTGTGCCGATGGCTCAGGGCAGGCCGCTGGGCAGGTAAGACCCGCCACCAATGAAAGTAAACATGATTTATGTAAATTTGACAAGCTGAACGCGTTCTGTACTGTGCAGGAGACACGGCACGAGATTGATTGACAATGGTCTGCAGCCAATCAGGATGCAGGACACAATGCGCTGTAAAAAAAAAAAAAAAAAGAATGCAAAATTGCACACAAAAAAATCCGTGAAACAGCGAGACCGCAAAAGCTGAAGCGCGTTATAGCGAGGGACCACCGTATGTTAGTGAAACAGTGCAGCATACGGAAGCTGTGTGCATAATGAAATCTGTGTTTGTGGCTCGTCTTTCTCAGTTAATTATAACGTAACATGATGTCAGGTTCACCAAATGAGAGGTATGCACATTATCCCTGAGGTTCTGTTGGTTTTTGCTTTTTTTCTCGGATCATGTGACTGACAGATGTGATACATATTCAAGAATAGTGCTTGTTTTAGTTTTAATCCTTCATCTGTCATTTTGGTGCTTGGAGTTAACTAGTTTAATAGATTTACAGGTGAGAATTTGAGCAGCTTGAATAGACGTATACAAATCTCTTTCTTTTTGTCTTAATTTGGAAATTTTGTTGTAGTTGCACATCTTGATCATACCTCATTGGAATCTAATGACATATTCAAAAGTCTAAAAGCTAGTTCAACTGTAACTATGGCCCTAAATTTGAAATCATGAATGAACCATTATACTATTACTTTGAATAAACTAGGAATGGCAGAGAGCTTCTTTGACGATGTGTCCACCTACATTATAGGGAAATATACCCACGGCGACACAAATACAGCACACGTCACATTCGTTTACTCAGCTGGTCTACAAATCTTTGTACTGTCTTGTCGATGTCATTTTGCCGTTTCCTCTTTCAGACCCTGACGTTCCCCCTCCTCCTCTTTTTATTTCTTTCTTCTGCTCCACCCAACCCCTCAGAAATTATAACCATCAGCACGAGAATGAATCAGTCACGGCACACTTCAAGTCAAGCATCCCCGCCCTGTGTTGTGTCATCGTGTTTCTGTTTTCATTCTTAGCCGTTCTGATTTTAGTTGAAGTTTTGGTTGTTTGGTGCTGCTGTTGTTGGTGGTGTTGTGCTTGTGTAGAAGAGTATCCTTCCATGGTTTTGATTTCTTGCCATCTTCTGGACGAACCCAGTCAAACAGTTTGCTCACTTCCCTCCTCCACTCCTCCTCCACCCGACACGGACCACCCCTGTGGAACCTCTCACCTTTAGCTCCAACTCCTACTCCTTTCAAACCCTGTGGTGATTATTATTTTTCACACCTTCATGAAAGATGCCGTCCACATACATCATTCCTTTGGTTGTTGTTTCCCACCCTCCTCCTCTTCCTCCTTCCACCATCGCTCCCCCCCTCCCACTCCTCCTCCCGCCGTCATGGATATTTTTTTGGACCTGGCCTCCCAAGCTGCGTCCTGTTTTCATTCCGTGTCTGCGGATTGTCGCATGTCGCCCTCCTGACCCTATTTGTGTTGTCTGCAGCCAAACGGGAGCGGCCAGAGCAAAATGCCAGGCTCCTTCTTGCTGCCTCCACCTCCCCCAGTGGCCCGCCCAGTGCCCCTTCCCATGCCCGACTCTAAACCCAACAGCACGCCCCCTGACGGCGGACTCTCCTCGCCCGCATCTCCGTGTAAGTGACCCCGCAGAGACCGTTCTCAAAACCAAACCAACACCAAAAAAAAGAAATATAAAAAAACAAATCAGAAAATCCCAACCCTCTCCAGGCAAAGGACCTTTGTCAGTGTTCTTCCTCCAACTTCGCCCCATCATTGTGTATCCAGCATCGCATCTCCCTAGCCCCGTGGAAGGCAATAACAGCAAGCACAGAATATACTGTGGAGCACAATAGAGTAGATCAAGGCCATCAAAGGTTTGGCTCAAAGTAGTCTTCATTATGGACTTGGGTGGCATTCATCAGGGTTCTGTATTAGGTCCCATGAGTTTCAGGAGCTCTACATGTTGAACCCATTTTGCGTGGCCTGGTGTGAGAAAGCTACATCACCGCTCCACTTCTTCTACTTCTAAATCCTCTTTTCTTCCTTCTCTGGGCACATCGCTAAACCTCGTAAGAAGATTTTTATTTTTAACTTATTGTTGCTTATGAAAGGGCACAAATTTAGGGCAGTTAATTTATATGGACTCCAAGAACATTCCAGTAGAGATTGGGACACCTTATGGAATAACTTACTGGTACCTCTTTTGCTTTAGCTTCTTTTGTTGCATGGTAGTTGTTAGAGAGCAAGAACAGGGTGTGCATTTAAATTTTTGTCAGTCATACAGTACATTCTCTCACCTGTGGTAGGAGGGGCACTGGATGGAGCACTTTTTTTGTTTGTTTTTAGCTCTCCTTCAAATATAGTGTTTTTGTTTTACCCCCAGTCAGCGTCTCAAAGTCTTCTATGTCTTATCTATGTTATTCCAATTCTTAGAAACACATGGATGTATATCTATCTTCCTTCCTGTCTCTCATTCTTGTCCTCCCTTTCCTCCACTCAAACAGACACACGTATGCACAAGTCTACACACTACATCTCTGAATGCCTCAGTGAGATTCAGATTCTGGAGTCCGTAGGGTACCTCAAACTGCCCTAAATTTGTCAGAGACGTTGATGCCACTGGGTTTTAAATGTCCCTGACTCCTCAGTGTCAGAATTTCAGTGTGCATAATCGCTTCCAATGAAGTTTATCAAGTATCCTTAATCACCCGGGGAGATCTGAGTTTGCATGCCAGATTTCCATGGGGTCTTAATGACCTCAATGATGTATAGCTGTACTTTCGGTAGAAGCAAGCGCCTGTTTCCTAAAATCTATTAGGTTTAATATATGCCATTTCATGTTGAAGCAATGACCATTTACAATGATTTGCTTTTTTGCCAAAGTTAGAAGAAGAAAAAGTTTAAAACATTTAAATCGCTCAATCACATGAAGGTAACGTCAGTTTGCTTAATTTAGAATCTCGGTTTTCAACAGGTATGGCTATGTTTTGTTTTTGTTTAGTTTTTTTGGCTCCAGTGGTTTTGCTAACTTTGGATTGTGCTAGCTATTTAGTCAAGTATCAACCTGCAGAGATAAAACAAACAAACAAACAAACAAACGCATAATAAAGTCAACACTAAAATGCCAGAAAACAACTGACTCCAAAAACAAGCTAAACCCATAGATGTCCATGTTCCTTAGTCTTGAAAAAAATGGGTCCTGTCTTTATTTTATAATTATTAAATGAAGAGTGAATTGTACTCTTTTTAAAAGTCATTAAGAATTAAACAGATAGAGAGAAATTGTAATATTAATGGGTGCCGCTTGCTAGCCAAGGCGTTCTTGCTAGCGTTACCTGATAAGCTAGCACTCTATGCTCAGCCGTGTGTAGTCACTTGTTTCTAAAAGAAAAACAACAACAACAACATGGGAGCAGACAAAAAGATATTGTTGGAGCTTTAAAAGAGTGCTTTACAACCCAATAAGTGGTGTCACCGTGGCTACATTCATCACATTTTATCCAGCCTATGGTCAGTTTTAATGCTATGCTAAGCTAAACAAGCAGGTAGCTACATTCGGTTTAGCTTACAGTCATGAAAGTAGAACACCTTTCTTCACTGTACTTTCATAAAATGAGTGTACACATTTACTTCGCAGAATTTGCACCTTTCCAGTTAAGACTCCATGAGAGGTTGCAGTGCTAGCTGTTTAGTTGGCACTGATGATTTTCTGTCCTCCTTCTGTTTCCGTAGCATACTCCACGCCAGGCGCCACAGCTCCCAACAGGTTTGTCGGCATCGGATCACGGGACAACAACTTTCTGAACATCCCGCAGCAGACACAGGTAGGAGTTGGGTGATATACTGGCAGTTTTTCTCGCTTTGTAGGAGAGTGAGGAGGAAACTCAGCTGTTTTCGCTGCAATTACTGGTCAAACTCTGGAAACTTATTAACTGCGTGGATGTACGCCAAAATATTTCTTATTCCCTCACTGCCTGAAACCTGCTGCACGGTTTCCTCCACCTCTTCTCTCGCACCATCCCACAGCTCGCCATCAATGTGTGCATTTGTACATCTGTATTTTACAGTACGTGTGTGGTTTACCATATGTGCTCAACTGTTTATTTGGCACACATGGAGCCTACCCTTCAGGCTCCTTTACTCACAGCTTTTTTTTTCTCTACTTGCTTCCTTTCCTTTCCCTCCTCTTGCCCCCCCTTTTTTTTCCTACTTCTCTTTCTCCGTTCTTTTAGCTTTACCACACTTTGCTCACTCTCTGCCTTTTACTTTCTCCTTCTCTCACCTTCTTTCTTCCTCCCCTTCACCACCCTGCACCTCATTCATGTGCCTCCTCCATTACCACCAGTACTTTTCTCATTAATGTCCAACCACACCCGCCTGGAGCCAGCTCAGCTCCACTCGTCGACACATGGAAACCATCTGAAACTGCTTTGCTGATCTCCTCCCTTGTTTCTCTGCCCTCTGTTCTCTCTCTTTTCTCCCTTTCCATTTCTGCCCCTCCGCTCATTATACTCTGCTCTTTACCCTTCATTGCTTCACTGTTCATCTCTTTTTGTTCCATCACTTCATAAACGTTTTCTTTGCTGATGAAATGTTTATGTTGCTTAACTCTAAGTTGTTTCTATTTTCTTGGAAGTTGAACTTTGCACACATCATGTGGCCAAACTGTGTGGACATGCGAACATCACATACAAACTGTATTTAATTGTTAAACATCAGGTTCAAGATCCGTGGGTATTAATCTGCTCCTCTAACTGCCTCTGCTCTTTAACCACAAGGCCATTATTGTGAGTTAAAGCACTGAATTCAGGCAATAAAGACTTGCAGTCAGAGTTCCCCTTAACGCCAAGTTAAGTTAAGTTAATTCACATTAAAACTATTTCTTCATGGATCTGGCTCTGTGTGTAGCAAAATATCGGATTCCCCAAACTGTTGCCAACACATTGTTGTCAAAAATATTACTTACCGCTATGTCTTTGGTTTCATTAGGCCTAAACCATAAAAACATTAAAAAAATATAGCACCAAGAACACAGATGTATTTGGACAGAGGTAACCAAAAACTTCTGGCTGTGTGTCTCATAGAAAAGTTGAGATGTTCTATACCGACTAGGACAAATTGTCTGAAATATGGTTTTACTTTTCAATGCGTAGCTAAAACACACACGGCACCAACTGTTTACACGTGTCTCTGCAGTGACATGAAAAGATTAATGGTCCACTTTAAAACTAAAAGATCAATCACAAAACAAAGATCCTCTCAAAAACGAGCCTGTGGCGGCTCAGGACCAGCGCTGGGCTTTGTCCTCCCTCTAGTGGCAAACGTTGGGTGCTACATCCAGGCGAGACGAGAAACTAGATACCAGCAGGGCAAGGCGAGAGGGGAAATGGAGGGAACAGAGCAACAGAGAGTTTCGGCCCCTATAGAAGTCACGTCCTGGCCGTCTCGTTACCCCCGGCAACCAGACATGATGTCATAGCCAGTTGATCTTGAATTTGAGAAGGGGTTGCTCGAGAGGGGGGCAGGAAAGAAAAGAGGGTGGTCACTGTCTGCTGCCAAGGATTTAGTGGGAGTGTTCACGGGAGATAGATGGATTGTGTGTGTCTGTAAGCACATACACAGAGGGACAGAGTAACTAAGAAGGGAGAAGTTACAATGCCCAAGGCCTGCTGGGACCGTGCCCAAGGGGAGTAGGGTAGCTGAGAAGGGCAGGAGGCAGGAGGGAGGCAGGGGGGTATTCATGCGACCTGTTAGAGTCAAACAAAACAAAAGGCTGCTTCCCTGGAGGCGCAGAGTAGTTTCCAAGGCTTGACTTCTAGAATGTTGGTGCACCAGCCCACAGTGCCAGATCCTGGAGGCCAAGCAGGGCAGCCAACAACAGTGGCGGTGACCCATTTCTGCTCCTTGCTCATGCTGAGGAGAAGAAAACTCAACGTGAAGAAGGCGCAAGTGACACAGAGCGCCAGACTGCTATCTCCCTGCTGCTGCTTGGCTATTAGGAGCTATTAACTACTCAGCCAAATTCAAGACATACTGTACTTCTCTCCAGAAATGAACAGACTCGATGGTAATAAGCTGGGCTAGAGGCCCAGATGACAATTCTGTCATTCACTGTATTTAAAAACTAGAGGAACCCCCTGAAGCCAAAAGCCAACACGGTGTGCAGACATTTTCAGAAACCATTTGTGGTGCAGTTGCTCTTTGGATGGGCATTCGTTATACAGCTGGTGACAGGTGTGGCTACAGGCATTGTTTTCAGGTTGATCATCCATGCTCCGAGGTGAAGGTCACAGCAACCTCATGTGAGAAAACACCTTTAATTTGGCAGGAATGTTCACTTACACTAAAGGATGAACTGATTTGGATTTGGTGCAAATTCTTGTGTATTTACTCAGATTATGACAAACTTTCACACCAGTGTGTTAGAATAAAAGATGATAGCATTTCATAACAAACAGGTTAAAGGATATCATCATATTTTTCTTCAAACACATTTATGGGCATTATCCGGTTGTTCAGTGATGACGTGACGAATCCTACTTCCGGGCCTAAAGTAGTCTGTGTTTAATTTGGCTTTTGTGTTGTTAACATGTTTAATGTTTTGTATTTTCTTCTATTTAATCTCAAAAAGCTCCTAAAACAGTCAGTGATCCCTGTTGACCTCCCTCTGCTTTTATTACCGCTAATCATTTATTTAAGCTCAGTTTTTAAAACCTTAGGATGTAACTACAGCCCAGCCCATGCAGCAGTATATGAATGACTAACCTCGTATTGTGGATGGATTATCTCAGTTGTTCTCCTGGCTGAAGTTTGGTCCTTTTACAGCATCCTGCCATGCGATTACATTTGTTCCTGACCACCGAGAACACTCACATTAACTTTTATCGAGTGGAAAAAAAGTTAGCTTGTTTATATTATGCTAACATAGTTGTGTCGCTAGCGGTCACGTAGCACATCATTATATACCAGCTAGCCCAACTTCAGTAACCCTACAAACGTCACTGCTGTTTAGTTTTCTGTCTTCATTTATGTTGGAAGTGATAGCAGAGCTGTACGTTTTAATTTGTTTCCAAAACCCCGCAGCCAGGACATGCTATATTGTATTTAGATAGAAACTAGCGAGCTAACTCCCTGCTAACTTCTAACTCTGTTAAATGTCATAAATTCCGTTTTCATGGGTGCCTGGATGTTAAACTCAATTGTTACACCTGGTAGAGCAGAACACTGATCATTTTATTAAAGATGAAAGACTTTAGACAGTTTTTCAACTCTCAGTAATGCCATAGTGATCGTTTGATATATGGACCTGCAGCGGAGTTTAGGCCCAGACACGGCTAGTGACGTCAGACTGAACAACCGGATTGATGCCATAACAGAGAAACAGAGAGAAGATTGTGGTGATGTTTAACATTTGGTAGGAGGCTGAAATGACTGCACTAACCTTTGGTGGCCAACAGTAAAGAGTCAGACACGCAGGTAAACTGCAGCTTCACTGGTTGGTGGAAGCTGCAAAGTAGTAATCCCAGTTTATTTTGAACAAACACAGTGGGTCACATTTTGTGCACATAAAGTTTATTTAAGCTGTTTACTATTTTTGTTACTAACATAATCTCATCCCGTCTTTCCCTCTCTTTTCTTTTTCAGTCTTGGTTCCTCTGACAAGATCTGTGTGCAAACCAGCAACTAGAATTCTTTCTTTGCAATCAGAAATAGAAAAACAACAACAAAAAACACAAAAAGAACCAGAGAAACAACCCGCAGGATAATAATTGTCCTCCAACCCACCCACCGACTGGCCCTGACAGTATGTCTCACCTGATACAAAATGTAACCAGGCAACGCAGGAAATTACAGCAGCATGACGCTTTTAGTGGAACTCTGGACTTACTTACACACAGTCAGAGGCAGGACCCGTTTCAAGCAAAGATGGATACGTTGAAAGACGAATAGATGGACAAGAGGATGCCGGGATGACAGGGAGAAGGGGGGGTAAGGGGACGGCAGCAGCAAGGAGGCATCTCTCCTCAAACCACCGAACCAGCACAGCAGCGCAGGAGGAACCTGAGGATGAAAACCGTCGGCTTCTCCTACTTTATAAAGACGCATTGTGTAACAAATGGCTTAGAAAAATCAGTTGTCTAGCAAATACAAATTCAAGTCACAGTCTAATCAAAGCAATTCGGTTTCCAGGGAAAGCTGCAGTCCACGCTCCTGTGATGTCTGTCATCACTCAAAACAAAATCCAAATGACCAATGTTTCTATCCTTCTGAATGACCTAAAATAGCCCCTTTCACCCTACTACTAACTAGTGACCATGCCAAAACTTGATTAAGGGTTGCACTACAAGCTGAATCAATTAACACTAATCTTAAAGATGTGCACTATTTACCTACAAGGCATGGGAGGTAAACCAGACTTGCCTATTTTAAAAGTTTTAAAGAGGAAACAAACCTGAGGTACAAGAAGCCTTCACAAGTCCTCAGCCCCCATCTTTCAGTTCGACAGATCATTGGCCTCCACTCACTCTCATGTCTCCCCACATTCAGAACAATCACTCAGTCTGTGCCATGACCACAGCATGTATGAAAACACACACACACACACACACACGTGCCCAGTCTCACATTTAGGTTGTAGTATTTATAGGTGGTGGTGTTGTGTTATTTCATTCTTATTTTTTTAAGCCCAGTGAAGTCTTTCTACCTTAATTAGATATCCAAACATTGTGCGCACACACACACACACACACACACACACACACTGAAAATCGCAGTGTGACTATATAATTACTGACAGCTTCACAGCTACAGGCAGCAGCTATTGGTTCCCAATTTGCCCTTATGTAATGTAGATGAATGATTTTATTATCTCTCGTGTGTTCTCTTATTTGAATTTATTCCTCTTTTGGATTTGTACTATTTTATAATTGTTTTGTATTTGAATGACAGCACCTTAAAGAGAAACACAGTCAGAAGCGGTATGTTGAAGCAGTGGAGACAGGGTGGTTAGCTTACCCAGATCAAGTAGCGCTTGCAAAAACATTTGGGAAATATGCTTATTTGCTTCTTTTTCCAGGGAGTTGAGATGAGTTGATTGATACCGCTACAGCTGGTTGGCTTAGCTGAGGTTAGCTGGCTTGGTTCTGTCCAAAGTTAATAAAACCACCAAACCTGCACCCCCAGTGACCGTTTTGATTATATGATGATTTTATATCGACGTATCCGTGCAGAATATGAGCAGTTTTAAGAGGGTTTAGACCCGAAACCCGTTTGGTCATTTTTTTAGGAATGTTGAAATCAACTCTGCGACGGTTTAGACGGCAGCTCAGGCGTTTTGTAGCTTTGCAATGCAGTGTCCTGTGAAAACACCGTTACTGTGAGAATCCTAGAAAGAACAAAGCATTTGAAAGTAATCCACTAGGTAACTAGTGTTGATTGTATATGTTAAGTCGAGCTTTTTGGCAGTTGGACATCATAAGCTAACTGTGGCTTTGACTTAAAACCCAGGAACACAGGGCAGCCACATGCAAAAGCATGACTGCTTCACTAGAAATTCAGAGTTTATATCAATGAAGACGTCAGTTTAGCGATTGAGACCATGAATTCATTACAAAAGTACTTCTTGAGGTCAGAAAGTGATACGGAGGATCGTTTCCTCATAGACTTGGATACAATCAGATTTTGCAAACAGGAGTCGCCCCCTGCTGGCCATTAGAAAAAGCCCAGGTTTTCAGCACTTCCGCTCTAGCCTCACTTTCCACCAGAGGTGGAGCGTATATTTCCTTAGTTGACACTTCACTTTGCTTTTATCCTGATTCTAGTACATTGGAACTACCCTGACTAATTCAATTTTATTTAATTTTATTTATATAACGCCAAATCGCAATGCCAATTGCCTCAAGGTGCTGAATATTTTAAGGCAAAGACCCTGCAATGATACAGAGAAAACCCCAGTAATCGCATGACCCCTGTGAGCAAGTGCTTGGTGACACTGGCAAGGAAGAACTCCCCTTTAACAGGAAGAAACCTCCAGCAGAACCAGGAAACCTCGGCGACTGTTTGGGGTGAAGGCAGTAAGATTCACACGAATGCGGGGACCCTTGTTACCTTTGAACAGAGCCACCTAGCTGCTTCATGTGAAGGTGACCCATCGAACAAGCATATTTTCCAGATGAACGTCTCCTGTAGAACAACACGATGCAGGGTTTTGACAATCACAGGAAGCTTATTTTTCTGGGAGATCGCCTGCTCGGCCATAACGGTCAGGGGAAGAAGACAAAATAGTCGCGCCTACTATTTGGATCCAGGTACAGCTAGTGGCTGCTGGTGGGGATGTACGAGTGATAGAAAACAGATCTGAGGAGGGAAGGTTGCTGAAGATGGGACCCAGAGTTAAGGAGAGAGTAGCTCTTCTTTCTGTCTCCCTAAAGTTTACCCTGTTGTTTACACTCCCAGACGAGCCGCTGCTCCAAGAGCAGAGGGGGCCACACTGCGGAGCAAAATGAATATGTGACATATCTGGCTGTTTTTGGAGAGGGGACGAGAGCCGAGGCTTAGCAGTAGGACGGATCACGGGTGTGCCCGTTTAAACGCCGGTGCACAGGATCACGTAAAGGCTGCTTGGTAGTGTTGGATATAGCATTCCCACAACACACACTTACACGCACACACACGCACCAGCACTCCCACTGAGCTACGGTGAATGGAAGAGCCCTTATAGATCAAAAAACTGCACTAATACAATCATGCCAGCCAACCTTATCAGACTTTTTTTTGTAATGGTTACAATAGATCGACCACCACTTAGTATTGCAAATCAGTGGATGTATTACTGGGATGGAATCACACTTGTAGAGCACAGATCGCCACTTCTTTAAAAAAAAACTCCACACAGACTTACGAAGACCACTCACTACTAACACGTCCCCCGTGCCCGACTCAATTCAAAGGGAAGTCTTAAAGATAGACAATCTGAGGAGGCCTTTATGCTTTCAATCATTATCTAGAACTATATAAAGAATCAGCCCACAAATTTAGCCCTACTAAAAAGCTAATCACCCATCCAACCTCACAAAATAACTGGACTGCCTGGCCACGTTCTTCACTGCAGGGAAAAGCGCGACATAGCTGGCCAATCGATGGCGATCATCTCATCAGCTTCGTAGAGAGATCTAGCTCCGCTGAGTAAGACATTAACGACGGCTAAAGGTGATTTCTTTTCTAATCTATGGAAGTGCCTCTGTATTCCCATTATGCAATTTGTCAAACATGAATTCAGGTTCTTTTTCTCACATATAAGCTATAGTGAATGGTGGAAAAAACATTTATGTCAGTAGGGGGAGAAAAAAACACGTTGACAGCTCACTAGATAATCACAAGCATCTTTATATATAATACACATATATATTTATAGATATATACTTTTTTTATTTGCAAGATAAGCTCTGTGGCAGTCTAGTTATTTTTTGAAGCATGGCGTACATCGCACAGTCATAGGATGCATCTCAGAAAAAAACCACACACACAGAAAAAGCTGATTTGAGCTAAAGTACCATTTTGTAAACCCGCTCGCACCCGCGTTACAGGACATAAAGCTAAAGGACGGCAAACGCAACAGTAGATACATAGACAACAAGTGATGATGACGTAGTTGAGGTTAAAAGATAAAGCAGATTAGGTTTTGTTGTTTTCTTTCGTGTCTTGATGGGAAGTATTGTTCTTGAAACTAAATGATGTATGTTGATTGAGCCATGTGCAATGCCTTGGTAGAGGAATTGTGTTTGTTTGTTAGCGATTGTTTGAGGGTGTCACACAGAAAGAGGGAAACCCTCTTCTTTTTTCTTTGTTTTATCTTTTTTGGGGGGGAGGGGCTTTTGTTTGTTTTAAAGTCCACCTGCTCCGGGACTCTAAATATGAGAGCAGCGAGAAAAAAAATCCCCGTCTTTGTAAGTAAGTTTGGGGAAATTATTTTACATTTTTTTGTTCATTTTTAAAAACTTCATTTCTATTCATTTGTTTTCAAAAACCATGGGAGGGCTGAAGGAACAATTTTGCAACTCGTAAAATATATATCACTATGACAACTGGTGCTTTCGTAAAAGAATAAAGTACATTCAGTCTCTATTATACATAAATAATAATAAACAAGAACTAAGTGTTATCATAAAAAGCAAATTTTAGGAAAGTGTGCGTTATTCTATTTCTCTTTTTGTATTTACCGAGGGAGGGGGGCGGGGGGGTGAGAGGTTCATTGTAGGACAAAAGGCATTTTTCCTCCCCGAACTTTATCGCCACTGCAGGACAAACAAACAGGGAAAAAATGAAAATCACGTCAGATCTTGTTTCTTTTCTTTCTTTTCTTCTCCATCATGTTATGTCCAACACATCTAGCGTGGGACAAAGACAAGATCTTCCCCATTTTTGGGAGATGCACAAGTACGGATTCCCCAGTCCAAACCACCGATGATGACGTCCATAGAAATTAAAGAAAATGTTTCTTTTATTTTGGTTTTTTAATGTAAATGTCTACTTGTTTAAACAAGAAAGAAAGAAAGAAAGAAAGAGGGAATCAGCGGCCTCTGTCTGGCTGGGGGGGGGGTGCTGTCATCAATTTACCAACAATGTGAACCCTACCCCCCTATCCCAACCCTCCACACACACATGCACACACACACACACACACACACCACCATCCTCCCCCAATCCCCTTCCCCGCTGTAAATGATTATAAATATTTGTTTGGTGATGTAGTGTTATAGACTCAGAGCATCTTTAAAGGTTGTCCCTAAAAAGTGCCTTTTGTTCACAGATTCCATCTTGTAATCCTGAGTGCCCATCTCCAAAAAAGTCCCCTCCTTCATGCTTCTTCTGTATCTTTCTCTTCCTATTCTTCAGAGCTTTTTCAAGCAGTATACATAGTACTAAAGGAAATTGGTGTGATTTAGTTCCTCTTTTTATTGTTGAATTATTAAGAAAAGACGTAAAAAAAAAAAGACAAAACCTAAAAACAAAAAAAAAAGAATATTTTCTGTCTTGCTTCTCTTCCTCTGTATCTTGTCGTCTGTCTAACTTGGACACTGGAGTAGTCTGTAGCCGCGTACCCTTCTCCCACTTCCTTCCTTTTCTCCCTTTTCTCTGAACGGCGGGGTTAAAAAAAAAGAAGAAGAATACGCAAAGGTTTTTTTCTTTTGTTGTCTGAGCAGAATGCAGTTAGCTCACATGTTATTCTTGTCTGTACGCTTCACATTGTATTACCATACCCATCTTCTTCAGCTTCTCCATTCAAACAGCTAATGTAAGTGAACAAGTTACACCACAGGGCTCTGGGCTGTGCTGAGGACAAGGGCACAGGATGAGAAAAAGAAAGAAAGGTGGAGGGATAAAAGCACGAGGAATGTGATACTGGGCTTTAGGCGAGGGTGGTGACCAGCAGGACTGCTAGCGCAGGCAGGTTTGTTCGTTTGCAGGTTTCCTTGTTTCTGTTTTGTAATTGAATTTGAAATTTTTTTATTATTTCGTCTTGATGGACGATGCATCGTGACCTGGTTATGCATCTTGAGAACGAGTGAATGAGAAAAGCTCTTGTAAAGAGAAGAAAAAACCATGAAAAATGACTCAAAGCACCTTAAAAACAGAGCGGTGCCACAGCACAGAGACTGAGATTCAGCACAATCCTTACAAAATGTGACTTATCGATCCATCACTATCCACCATGCGGTTCCAAATCCTGTAAACATTAGATGTAAGCACCGTGAGGCTCCACCAGCAAAATCGAGGAAGAAAAAAAAAGTATATGCAACGTTTAGATGTCTTTTTTTTGCATTAAGCGAATGAAGCCAGCAGCAGTATTATCAGCGAAGCCTTGACGAGTGAAAGCGCCATCGCTGAGAAGCCATATCAGAGACAAACAGGTCACACAGCAGAGCGAGTGCGCGTGTGTGTGTGTGCGTGAGCGTGTGCGTGAGCGTGTGCGCGCTTTAGTCGAGAGGCGGGCGTCTGCAGTATCCGACGCCTGCACCGTTCAAGAGCCCAGTCGGACCCTGTGGCCCAACCGTCAGCATGTTTCACTTTTACGTTTTCCTCGCTCAGTTTCTATCACTGTTTTAAGGATGCTGTTTAGCGATTTAGTGACTGAGCTCCCAAGCTAGACTAACCCCGCCACACCCTGAACCCCGCCCACCACAAGTGCCCCTCCCCCTCCTTCCCCTCTGTCAGAGCCGTCCCATCCTCAGACACACCTCCCAGAGCCCATGGTGAAATGCATGTGTTAATTACAGTTTCTTTTCCATAATAATAATAAAAAAACAGTTGATTGAATAAAAGGATGTTCTTGACTGTATCCTGCCTGTGTCGCCTGTCTTTGTTACCGTGTCCTCGTCAGCGCTGCAAGAGGAGAAGCACTCTGGACAGAAACGCTGTAACTGCCTGCTGGGACTGATGAGCTGAGGGAAGCCACACATGCATCTACTAGGAGGCCGAGGGGTAGGCAGGTTTTTGGAAACCAGATGTGACCAGATGTGATGCTGGGTAACAAATTCCTACTGTAGTATGAATTGGGTAACAACCAAAATTCACAGAGCTGTTCTAGGACTGAGCCCATGAACTCAACAGGAAGATGTTTGCAGAGGTCGGAGACGTTTTGCAAACATTTTGTAAGAGTCGGGTCAGATTTACTAACACGCTGTTCCAGCTCGAACTGGGCTTCAGTTTAAAATACAAATACTGATTTAATTGATGTGTTACTACTAGAGATGGCATGATACCACTTTGTTAACGTCCAATACCGATCTCATAAATTTGTATAGCTGCCGATACCGATATGAATCTGATATAGTCTATGTTTATAATCAATAAAAAGATGTTTAGTATCTTGCTGGATTTCGTATAAGTTCATCCTAAAATTTTAAAAGACAAAACACTAAAGCTATTCTATTACACTTGTATTCTATTCTATACACTGCACCCAAAATATTTCAGTTCAGCAATACTGATCTTGTTATTTAAACTCTTAGCAGAACTTTAAGTGTTTAAAGTAATATTCAAAAAATAATTTAAAATTTTATACAGGTTTCAAAAAGTCTTTGGCTCTGAAAAAAAGAAGTTGCAATATCAGCACAAAATAATGTTTATATTTGACATCTTGGAAAAAAAGCAGGTTGTAGAATGGACCCTTTTATACATAAATAGACATCCAGAGTGGAAAGCAGTGCAAATATGTGCAAACACAGCTTCTCACGACGCTCCTCTTTTAGCAAGATGAGTGCCAGTGTAAGCTGTTTCTATCACATTTAACCTGAGACAGAATTTTGTGTAATTTCTATACAAACTTAACACAAGTATGAAAAAAGTGTTTGTTTTGTTTGTGAAGACGTGAAAAAGTGTTGTTACATTACCATTCAGTTTGAGGGTTACAACAGAAAATGATGTATTTATCGTTCTCACGCAGACGGGATTATTTTACCAAACCAAGGAGATTTGGCCTGATAATTATTTTTATCCTCCTGTAACTTTATTGTATAAAGAGCTAAAACCTCCAAGGTTTCAGGAGTAGTTCGTCGTTATAAGAAGTGTTTGTCAACTAAAAATCAAGAATGTGGGAGTCTGTCTGTGATTCGGAAAGCCCAGCGTGTGGTCCCGACGCAGGGAAACACATTCTGTCTGCGATGCCTACCTTGGCAGCACATAGCGAGGCTCCAGATGCTTTCAGTGTGAACTCCAGACCCCCGACAGGTCTCGCACACAACTACCACGTGACGCATACTGCTCCGACGTGCTAAGGTCACTACCTGGGTTACGCCAAGTTTTGTGAGGTGCTTTTGTGATATTTAATGGATCGGATTACTTTTTTTTCTCCCCTATATCAGATCAGCATATCGGATCGGTCCATCTCTTGTTACTACCACCTAATTCTTTGATACTGCCACTACTTTTAAATACAGGTATATAGCCACAGTCTGTGGCACCATCAGATGGATACACTACATCACAGAGGTTCTCAGTTGGATTTAGGTCTGGGGACCTATGAGCACAGGTCCCAGTAAAGGCTGTTGGGCCCTTGGGCCACCCGCAGGCAGTATGTTTCTGACACTCTGACCACAAACATAACAGAACATTACATTACAGAGGAACCCACCCGAGGGATTGATCAAGTTTTATCTAATCCATCTAATCTAACATGCACGAGTATCCTGTTGGAGGTGATACTGTAGAGCTCTGGCAGTGCTCCTGTACTTCCCCGCATAAAGGAGCAGATACCGGTCCTGCAGCTGAGCTGATGATCTTCTACTATGATCTCCTGTCCAGCTCTTCTTAAGTAACACCCTGTCTCCTGGTATCCTCCCCACACTCTCACAACTGGGAGAAACTGCAGACCTGGTTGCCATAGGCTTACCTTGGAGGAGCTGAACGTTCAGCAGAGGACTGTAGAAGTTTAGCCAAAAAACCAAACAAAACTAGAGCAAAATCAGTGAGGAGGGGTCAAAAAGAGCGCCAATGGTTTGTGTTCAGAACCAGCAAAAGCATTCCCTTCATGGGCGTGTGCACCTGGTGTCACTTTCATTTACACCAAAGGAGGTGAAATGAAATGGTTTCTGATTTCTAACTGGGGAGATTGGTGTCCTTGACACTTAACTGACTGTATTTTGTACTGTGATGCCCGAGAGTTGCCTTTATTTTCTGAGCAGTTGACTGAGTATAATGCCACACTTGAGGAACACAGTAAAATCACATAGAACTGAAGAAATCTGGACATAAAGATGACCCATCATACTACTTGGTCTGATGCTTCAGCACTTATGTGAGTATTCATTAATAAATGAATATTTACAGTTTTGGTCAACGTTAAATGTGAGTGACTCAAAACAGGTGAACGAAAACTTCCACCTAACGATGCACTACTATGGCAAGTCCTGCATCGAGAGGCGATAAAGAAGTGTTGATAAATGAGCCGTTAACTATCAAGATGTTTGTGAATTGTTGTCGTCTGTGGAGAGATGCAGTTTATCTTGTTTAGGACTACACGCCTTTAAAGGACCAAATCTGTGCAAAAATGTGGATTCAGTGTCATTTTCTGTCAGGTATCAGTGTCGTGACGTTCTGATTGCAAAGGCACCTTTTCCTTTTGAACATGAACTGCATAAGCAGCAGGCTATCACTGCTAAGGTGGGACGCACCAAGACAGTTAGTTGGAATTTTTTTAAGGACCATCCTGCGTGTTCCCCTGATCTAAAGCCAATTGAGAAGCTTTGATGGATTGATGGCAACGGAGGTTTACAAAAATGGAAAAGAGTTCCAGACAGCAGATGCCATTCGTGCAGCCGTCTTCACCACTTGGAGAAATGTTCCCACTCACCTCATGGAAACACTTGCATCAAGCTTGCCGCAACAAAATTTTGAAGTGATCAACAATAACGATGCAGCTACTCATTACTGAGTTGGAACTTTGAGTTTTGATTTGGGGTGTTTGCAGGGTTTTTTGAGGTGTGGTCTTACAACTTCCTAACTTTTGATCAGCTGTAAAGCAGCCTGTTTCCGTTTAAGCGTCGCTTTGAATAAGCTGGATACTCGGAAAAATGTTTTGTCTCACTCTCAGATCCAACCACGCAAAATATGATTTTTGCCATTTTTCAAGTGCACTGTACAAAGTAGGGTGAATGAGCTTAATCATTTCTATTTCAGTGGGTGTTGTGATTAACATTAACTATTTAGTGGATTAAGAGGACATATATGACATGATTAAGTGTGAGAACATGAGTGTTCATCCTTTCTACCACTGTTCTTTTCCCGTCCCGCTGACATTCCTCAGGTCTTGTGGTTGTCAACAACATTTCAGTTCACCCTCACAATCCAACATGTTTTATGTGAAAACTATCAATAAATTCAGTATTGGCTGTAGTATGGAGCATATTTAACCACTAGGGGGCACCTCCTGACCAGGTGAGTGCATGATGCGCGCAGCGAGTGAGATCCATGCTGATGCAAATGACACACAGAGTCAGAGGCCTGAAAGACTGCTGATATTTAATGTAGCACAGCATAGTCTAAGATCATGTTGATGCTGTAGGACAGCTGTCAGTATAAACTGCCCTCACGCACACACAGGATGAGACTGCAGTTAACAGTTACCGTCTCCTTGCAGACCCGCATCAAGGTTTCCACACATCCCCACCTCACACACCACAAACCGGGGCCCCGTTCTCCGCGTGTGGACGCCTCAAGTCGTTCAAGGTTAGCTGATAATTTGATACGAGACCTGGACTGTTTCGGTTCTTTGAAGCCAGAGTTGTGGAATCCCACTTTTGCACTCATTTTCTGATCCAAATGTCTTAATAAAATCCATAACTGCATCTTTAATCTTAACTGTATCTATGCATGACAAAAAACCCAAAAAGAACGCACAACCCATTAAAAGATAGACATCAGAATGACAATGTATCTTCTTAAACACTAAAAATCCTAAATTAACCTGCAGAACTATTTGAAAGCTACTGTGCTGATTGGAGTTCCGGCTCCAGCTCCACGCACTGAGAACTTCATCCGAGGTTATCAGTCCTCAGAATGCTTTCAGATGAAATTAACTGTGCGACAATTTGCTCTGTTTTAGCCTGATAGCAGCATGTAGCTGGTTTTAGTCACCCCACACGTGTGAAGAACAGGGCCCGGGTCAGCAAAGCTTCAAAACAGTAATCTGTAGTGGGTCATGAGCCCGTGTGCACATACGGTGGGTATGATGGTGACGATGGATCAGATCTGTTCCTCACATTGCTCTTCATTAGCTGCTCTGTGTGCACTGGTAGCCTTCAATCCAACCCGTGCGCGCCTCCGTGTTGATCAACACTACTGCAAAGTAAGAGCACGGCCTTATGATCGGCGGCAGGTGTGCAAGGGCCAACATCTCAAGTGAGTTTGACTCAACTTCAGTGGGTTTTTGTTCTTAATGATAACTACACATTACACACGGTAACAGGAGGCGAGCTAATCAGACTATAAAGGGAACAGCAGCATGTTTCTCTGCGTGGCCCTCTCAGACTCCGTGTCACAACATTCAGACAATGACGGAGTGAATTTAGCATAACTGAATCTCTGCTTTATTCACGCTCCTATTTAGCCACATCACTTTAAATTCAGTTTGCCACAGACCAGGATGATTACAGGTCATCTGCTCCACGAGGAAGCTGAAGGCTTATTTGATTTCCAGACCTTTCCTTTCATTTTTTAGTGTCCGAAAGCTGATTTAGAAGGAAACTCAAATTTTAAAAAAGAAACTTTTGTAAACACCCAGACATGTCACTGTAGGTAGTAATCAGACAAGGAGTTCACTTGTTCTTAAAGAGGAACTAT